GTAGTACTCAATGTGAAAATGTGTACTGTTGCAAAGTGAATAAAGTGTGTATGGCGGACACCAGATACCCGACTTCTGATCAGTGCCTGTGATTTGGCACCAGACGTCTGAGCAGTCTGGTGCTCATATGGCCGAAGATCAGTTTTCATGTTATTTTGACTGTTTTGAAGTGCACCAGAAGAAGTAGAAGAAGAAGTTATGAGAATGATGAAAGTGCCAAAAAAGGTCGACTTTAATACATTGTGTTGTGCGCAGTGTGTGTGTGTTATCTAGCAGCAGCAGCAGCAGCTGNTCTGAGCAGTCTGGTGCTCATATGGCCGAAGATCAGTTTTCATGTTATTTTGACTGTTTTGAAGTGCACCAGAAGAAGTAGAAGAAGAAGTTATGAGAATGATGAAAGTCCCAAAAAAGGTCGACTTTAATACATTGTGTTGTGCGCAGTGTGTGTGTGTTATCTAGCAGCAGCAGCAGCAGCTGTTGTCTTGTCTTGTCTTGTTTCTTCGCAGGTGAAAGTCCACAGAGGAGAGATCGGAGAAGAGCAACAGTTGTCAACAGATTCGCTTTTTCTGGTATTCGCCGATTTTCGTGTTAAGTGAAGCGAAAAAAGGCGGAACAATTTCATCTGGTGATGATGCGTATTGATTTGATTTCAGTGCCCTTTGAATGGGAAGCAATGTTCAATGTCAGAAATGAGGCGTGTGTAAGCTAATGATGATGGTGATGATGCCGTTGCTGCCGATGACATTGGTGGCACAAAGAAAGCAATTTGCTGCCAGAAAAGCAGTCACTCGAACTTGAACTTGAAGATTAGGTTGACAAAGAGAAAGAGAGAGAACGATGGTTGTAGATTAGGTCTTTAAAACCTCGCTATCGTATTTGTCAATCAAATAAAAAGATTCGCCTTCTGATAAGCATTCAAAGTACATTTAGTAGCTTAGGCAGTCTCTCAGTAGGTGTTCACTCGTTAGCAACATGTGTGTATGTGTCTTGGAGACTTGGATATATCTCTTGTGAAGAAAGAAAGAAAGAGGGAAAAAGTGTCTATAAATAGTGGACACTTCTTTTTGTTCAATTTGCATAATCAGACTCTGATTGAAAAATCAGTCTCAATGATGGCGGCGGTGGCGGCAACTGAAACGTTCAGCAGTCGATTGATTGGAGGAGGGCTGTCGTCAAGTGAAAGAGAAAAAGGTGATGATGAAATGATGGAAGCCACACTGCCTGGCAACCAGATACAGTCTACAGCCGTAATGTTTCACGATCGCAATTTGGACTAGAGTACCTTNGGAACAATTTCATCTGTTGATCATGCATGTTGATTTGATTTCAGTGCCCTTTGAGTGTGAAGCAATGTTCAATGTCAGAAATGAGGCGTGTGTAAGCTAATGATGATGCTGCTGCTGCCGATGACATTGGTGGCACAAAGAAAGCAGTTTGCTGCCAGAAAAGCAGTCACTCGAACTTGAACTTGAAGATTAGGTTGACAAAGAGAAAGAGAGAGAACGCTGGTTGTAGATTAGGTCTTTAAAACCTCGCTATCGTATTTGTCAATCAAATAAAAAGATTCACCTTCTGATAAGCATTCAAAGTACATTTAGTAGTTTAGGCAGTCTCTCAGTAGATGTTCACTCGTTAGCAACATGTGTGTGTGTGTGTCTTGGAGATTTGGATATATCTCTGTGAAGAAAGAAAAAAAGAGGGAAAAAATGTCTATAAATAGTGGACATTTCTTTTTGTTCAATTTGCATAATCAGACTCTGATTGAAAAATCAGTCTCAATGATGGCGGCGGTGGTGGCAACTGAAACGTTCAGCAGTCGATTGATTGGAGGAGGGCTGTCGTCAAGTGAAAGAAAAAGGTGATGATGAAATGATGGAAGCCACACTGCCTGGCAACCAGATACAGTCTACAGCTGCAATGTTTCACGATCGCAATTTGGACTAGAGTACCTCTTTCTAAACTGTCTGCTAGCAAAAAGACTACTACTTCCAAGCAACCAACACTTTCAAAGCTAATGAAGATCGCAATCACTTTGCTTCCCGAATTGAAACTCAATCCTGGCACGCAATTCCCATGCAAAAACAACAAAATAATATGCTGGGCGTCAGATAAGCTGATCAAACACTTTCTCTCACACTTTCTTTCACTCTCACTGTTGCCTTTCGACCTCGACTTGGCGCAATCTAGTGCTACATTGCAGTTGCAGCTATTGCATGCCTGCCTGCCGAACCACTGCTATCACCACCATGATGGGAAGGAAATACAAGGGGCTGCAGCCTGTACGTCAACGATGATGGTGGGGCAGTATAAAAAGGGAACTGATGGTGGTGTTGCTGATGTGCTTTGCCACTCCTCTCTCTCTCACTTTCGGCAGTTCCTAGCTTATCAACGCATTTTTCGAGTCCATTCGGTGCGTTCATCTGTGGTACCGTTCTTATCAGTAGGACCACTACTACCACCACCACCACCACCACGATCACCACCAGCAGCACTAGCACTACCGGAATGGGTAGATCTGGCGAGGAAGAGTGGAAATGAGCTCACTCTTCTCCTGTCACCCAAGTGGACGGTCCTTCTTCTTTCAATTCGCCCAGAAACCTTTTGACATTCAAGTTTTTTCAACTTTTTCTCTACCACACGATTTTTTTCATACTTTTCACTTTCAAAAATGAACCCAAGGAGCACGCTCATCTTCCTGATCGTCCTGATCATGCTGTTTTCCGCCTGCTGCTTCACACCCATTTCCTGCAGAGCACTATCAACTGACGACACTGGATCATCAGTGGTCACTTTGGAGGCAATTGCGCCTTCATCCTCATCCTCCTCTTCCACCTCCTCCTCCACGTCCTACATTCTGGCCAAAGACGGGCGGAAGCTGCTGGTGACCATTCGAGCTCACCACAATGCGGTCGCCAATCGAAAGGTGCGCACGCCAAAGAATCCCTACGACAAGGAGGGGCTGCGCTTTCGTCGTCGGCGCTGAAAACGATGAGCAAAAAAATGGTGCCGACAATACAGAAGATGCACCGGCACAAAACTCTCTCTTTCTCTCCTGTGGGCGCAAAAAGTGGAGAAATGCCCCTCCTCACAATCACTACCATCACCACCATAATCCTCTTCCATTTCATTATGACTGACTGGTGAGGGCGATAATTATTACTATCGCCAGAAGCAGCAGCAGGGCAACACTGATCTCAATTAATTGGCACTCGCTTCACTCTTCGCTCTTTATCCCACGATTATTTTTATTTTTTCTTTCTATCACTTTTCAAGCAGGGGAAAAAATTAAACTCTGGACTGCATTATCACACTGAGAACAAGAAACGTCCAAAGGCGACCACTGTTCGCAATTCGTACAGTCACACACTTGCATAGTCCCTTTTCCTCTTCCTCGTGCGTTCTTGCAATCACTGCGCCTTTTCACTACATCTATCTTTTTGTTTCATTTTTCTACATAACTTTTTTATTACTTTTGTTACTTTTTTCATACAAATGTATTCTTTGAATTGATTAAAAAATGATTAAAACAACAGCATTTAAAATTGCGAACTGACACAATGAGTGATTTTGTCAACAATCATTGAAGACCATCCACGGGTGAAATCTGATAGGAGAAAAAAGTTTTTAAAAAAGTGAAAAGTTTTTTAAAATTACTTACCGACAACGCATCTCTCGCTTAAAGTCTTTGACTACTAAATCCAGCCAAAGCTGCCGTATCCGCCTCTCTCGAAGCTGTCCAGCACGAGATTGATTGCCCAGCAAATCACCTCCGCCCCATGAGATGCCCCAACAGGGCGGGTGATTGTCGAATCGATGGCGGCTGAAGCAGTCGTCTACCAGTTTCCGATCCTCTCGGTCTCGCCTCAGCAGCTGCTGGAACATCGCCCGCAGCCGGCGCTCTCGAGCACTCAGCGGGCGATCGTTGTCACTTTCTGCTATGACGAAGCAGGGATGCCGGTTCTCTTTTTTGTCGTACACTAGCCAAGAGTGGTCGTAACTGAAAAGGGGGAAAAATGTGAATTGTTGAGAAGTTGATTGAATTTGATCTCTCAGCACTTACAAGCAATCCTCCACTGTTTTATCGTCGGCACTTTTTGGCGCCTTTAGCAGTTGCTTTAACAATGGCAAATCTTTTAAAGATGCTTTTGTTTGCTGATTATCGCCATTTTGCCAACTGTAATTAAGCAGTGCAATACTGAAAAGAAGAAGGAGAATGGCGATGACCAGTGTCAGTACAAAGCTGGAACATGATGAGCAGAGCATGATTGAATTGTATGATCAATTTGAATCTTTTTGCAAACTATTATTAAACTGCTAAACGTTTTATTTAAATTAGCAGCAAACACTCTAAATTGCAGACTACTTTGTGTCAGTGTAATCATTAGTGACACACACACACACTCTCTCTCTCTCTCTCTCTCTCTCTCGCA